CCCCAGTATAGGAGGGACGTGGAGCTTCTCGAGAGGGTCCAGCGGAGAGCAACTAAGATGATTAAGGGAGTGTAGTTTCTATCTTAGGAGGAGAGACRAGTGAGCTGGGCCTGTTTAGCTTGGAGAAGAGAAGGCTGAGAGGGGATCTGATCCATATATGTAAGGGGAAAATGAAGGGACGATGGGACCAAACTCTCCTCGCTGGTGGCCAGTGACAAGGGGCAATGGATACAAAYTGAAAACAGGAAGTTTCAATTCCTGTCTCCATGTGAGGAGGAACTTCTTCACTGTGAGGGTGCCAGAGCCCTGGCACAGGCTGCCCAGGGAGGCTGTGGAGTCTCCTTCTCTGGAGGTCTTCCAAACCCGCCTGGATGCCGCCCTGTGCCCCGTGCTCTGGGTGTCCCTGCTGGAGCAGGGGGGATGGACTAGATGATCTCTAGAGGTCCCTTCCAAACTCAACCATTCTGGSATTCTTGGATTATCTCATGCAGCGATGTGCCCAACGCTGGCTGGGACCCCAGGGTGCAACTGGTGCAGCTGATTGCAGAGGTAGTAGCCCTGTCCCTGCAGGACTGCTTCCCTGGGATGCTTCACCAGCTCAGAATGCAGGAGATACCTGGTTAAATTTGAAGCATCATTTTATGTAGGTTTAGTTAAATCAGTAGCAACTGAGAGCAATACTGTGGAGTCAGTGGCAATACACCCTGACAGCCCATTGTACAACATACTCAGACTTGTAAAATATGTCATGTTCTCCATATTTTATACTAAAGATAGATACATATATTCTTCACCTTCCAAAAGTMAAAAAATCCAGTACTTTGCTTTCTGTATTTCTTGAAACATAGTTAATGACTTTTTAACACAAGGGTTATCACTCTCTGCTCTTTCACACTGAAGGTAAAATAATTAAAAATAATTAAAAAATAAAGACCATAAACCAAAACATCTGTTGTACAACATGAGCCAGCATGAAGGGAGGATTTGTCCATGTGCTGCATCAACGTTCCTGGGAAAAATCCATGGTCGTCTTTTTACACAGGTGCTTTCTCCAACTATTCCCACGTGTGAATACATACGATTAAGGAAGATCAGATAAAAAAAAGTACTCTCAAAGGATGTATTTTATCCTAGACAGAGCTACTCAGAACTTTCTCATCACAGGGAAGCCGGGCATGGAGCTGCCTTTATAAAAGAGACCATGACAGCCAACTCGGGCCTAGGCTCTCCAGCCACACTAGAAGAGAAGTAGGTTTACTGTGTGTGTTCTGAGGTCAGAGATTGCTTAGCATTGCTAGTACAGAACATGTTTTAGCATGCATGACAGAAAATCCATTCCCTTTTAATTATAAGTAATTAAATTTGCTGTCTGTGATTTATGCTCCATCCAATCTCATAGTCATCACAAGGCACTGCCTTTATTTCTCATGACCTCCTTTCTCTTAATCCTTTTTCAAAAAAAATAAGTCAATGAGTACATACCAAATGTTCCTATTGACCTCTGAGAAGTACCAGTCATCAGGTGATATTAAACATTTCATAGTGGGAATAAGACTTCAGAGGAGGCCCCACATAACTGCAAATGAAAAAAAAAAAAAAAGGAAAAAGAAAAAAAGATGTTAAATTTGATACACACTCCTCTGTAAAGCAGACCTATCTATATACATCTCTCACAGGCTCATAGCAGGGGATCAGGGGATCATGACTGTTCAAGCAAATGCAGAGAAGCAGCAGATCAGCTGATCCCCTCGTTCATGGCCTAGTTCATGGCTGTGCATCTAGAAAGACTTCATACCACGTGTGTCTGAGCCTAGTTGCATGGGGTTTTTTTTTCCTCTTTAGAATGTGCTGATATTATTATGAGTAGTTTTAAAATTTCTTAACAAAATTTCTTTGCTGTTTCTTTCTGTTCTCCATTAATTGTTACTCCATATTATAAAAATCTGATTAAAAGCTTGCAGGAAAAAGACACTGATTCAAAATCACACTCTTTCAGCACTGCTTTTGAAGACAAAACGAAGGTGGCTACTTTTAATATGGCAGCAGAGAAACYGATTGTATCGATCTCTTTAAAAGATGTTCAAAATACTGGACACAACTTCAACCCAAAATACAAAGCGACTCTCAGAAGACAATGATTTGGATGGACAACAGATCATATTGCACATAATATCATCAAAAATGCAGGTGTCTTTGCTCACATCATTTGGTTTTTGCAATGCAAACAGCTCCATGGAGGAGCTGAGCTGCCTTCTTCATCCTTGTAATCACATCCATCTGTTTCTGATGCAGGGCTGATTCTCTTCTGCTGCGCAGGACAACACTTGCAGGAGATGCACTGTAAAATGCAAGGCCTTCAGTTTAATGGAAACCACAAGGGTTTTATCCCAAAAGCGTGAAATTTGCAGCTGGATGGAAACTTGGTTTCTAATCAAGGCAGCATCTGGAAATGCCAATTTCTTTCCTTATATTCTAGATTGGCCTGGAATTATTGTTCCCAAGATGCATATTAGCTCAGCCGATCTAACTTAAAATTGTAATGTGGATACAGAAAGGTGCACAGGACAAAAATTAGTTTGCAGCAGCAGAGGCTGCTAGTCTAAAGCGGAAAATTGAACACCTGTTTCTTGCTTTTTATTTTGTAGTTTCTCAACAGGGGGATATTAACATACTTTGAAAGCTGTGCTTCCCTCAAGCTAAATCTTTGTGAAAAGGTAAGTGTGTTCTGTGTGAATTTGGAAAGAAAATGATTTTTTTTTTTTTTCCCCTTTTACAAACATCAAAGCATTTAAAGCTTTTAAACTCTATGCATTCCCATAGGACAACTCTGACATCAAAAACAGTATGACATAGCCTAAAATTAAACAGAATAGTTAATCTACATAATTTTAGAAATCCATAATCTCACCTTATTAGGTCATGAAGTTTGTTTTTCTGCTAGAAAAGCTGGCTTTCAGCAGTGAATGAAAAACATTTTACAACAGAGGTTTCTATTATTTCTGTAAACATATTTAGCCAAATAAATATTGACAAGCTGGATCATAAGTAAAAACCACTACAGATGCTCTTTTTGGATGGTTTCAGAAACATTTTAAAGCCAATTTTTACAATATTAAACAG